ATTTAACAAGTAATTATTTGTAAAATGACAAGTACCTATTAAGCTTATGATAAATATTGATATGGAAAGTGAAAACAAACTAAAATGTATATAAAGATTTGCATTGTTCATTTAACAAGTTCATATTGGTATGTCAAAAACTTATATGAACTTGTTATTTTACTAAAATTTATTATCAAATTATTAAAAGAAATTTTCAAAGTTAGTAACAAGATTTGTCATTTCAAAAATAGTTACTTGTTAAATTATCAATGGGGACTTATCATTCCTAGTAATAAAAATAAGTAAATATTTATAAAAATCAATGCATATCAAAATTTTTAATAAGTCCCATTAGTAATTTAATAAATAATCATTTGTAAAATGATAAGTAATTATTAAACTCCTAATGAGTTATGAGTATTGACATGAAAAATGGAAAAAGAGTTAAAAATATAGATACAAATTTGTATCATATAATTGAAAGAAATTGTTAGCCTAGTGGTAACTATTTTTTTGATAGCTAAGGGGGTGTGAGTTCAAACTCCTCTGGCCACCTTAAAAAAAAATTAATTTGCCTCTCTTGCTAGTTTGATGATCGACATTGGAGCTCCTGGTGATAGTGAGAAGATTTTTTTTAAATAAGGGGTAGTTTTATCTTTTCACATTAAAATTTAATTACATTTTGGTCCTTTAGTCCTGCAAAGTTAATTTGGTCCTTTTCTGTAAATAACATGCTCCAAAGGTCATTCATTGTGATTTTCCCATTAAAAAAACTACACATGAAAAAAAAAATTAAAAAATAAAACTCAATATATTATGACTACAACTCTAAATTGGGAATGATAATGTTACTATTATTTTTTAAAATTTTATTCATATATATACACATAAATATTATTTTTATTCAATCAAGATGTCACCAGTTGGATTGCTAGTCCAACTATTAATTTCATGGAATGAAGAACCGAACTGAATTGGCTGATTCAACTAATGAACCAGTGAACTGCCCTCTTTTTTGTTTTGATTTTCCACTTAAACTAGTATGAGATTGGCCAAGTGTAATTCAACCAACTCAGGATTAACCCAAGATAACCCAACTAACCCAACGAGTTGGGTGGGTTGGTTTGGTTACATTTTTGCTGGAAAAATTTCTCCCAAACCCACGTCGCAACTTTACTCTAGCTCATTAGGTTGGTTGAAAATTTTAAAAACAAAACAAAAGGAAGAAGCCGATGGCTGGAAGAAGTAATGGAAAGAGATGAAGGAAGAAAAAAAAAAGGATACAATGATGAAGGAAGACAAGGAGAGAAACAACGATCAAGAAGTGAAAAGAGAAGAACTAGATATAAAAAAGTGAAAAACCTTACTTTTTTGAAATCCACATCTTTCTTCCATTTTTGATACAAATCTACAAATGAAAAGGACCATGGAGGGTGAAAAAACTGCAACCCCAGTAGAAGAAATCGAGAGAGAACGTTTTAGGCTTGATTCTTTAGATCGTAAAAAATAAGAGATACGTTTCCTACCTTGCTCTCAGGATTTTTCATTTTTTATATAACCAAGAAAAAATGTAAGTTCAATTGCAGATAAGTGAAAAGCTGGACAAGATAATAATAAAATATTGTTATTTACACCAAGATTATCTTGAAAGTTGGGAACATATTTCGGTGAGTGTGTATCTTCTGAGTTGAATTTTTCTTCAAAGAATTATTGCTGCACTTAATTTAATTAATTTTAATGCATAACATTAATATTATATTTTCTAAATGATAAGATATTGGTTTCTAAAAATGAAAATACTTTATTTTTAAAATTTCAGGATTTTTTATTTATTTAGTCCATATCAATAGAAAATGAGGAAGATAAATGGAATATGTTAAATTATTCTTTTAAAAAAACCGCCAAATTATTAATTTTAAAAAATTAAAAGAAAATTTATAAATTTTGTGTCTTTAAATGAATATTTTTATTTATTTAAATATTCATTTTTTCACTTTTAACTTCATATTTTTATGTATATAAATTAAATTAAATTATTTTAATTAAGATCGATTTGACTCTGAATTAACTCCTGATTGAATCACTAATCTTTAACCCATTATCTTAATAGGTTCAATAACTGATTTAATTATCAGTATCTTAATTAATTCATAAGAACCAAGGGTATTGATCACATTATCATCCCTCTATACATATGAAAAAATAGATGTACCAATAACAAAACATAACAAAATCATATGAACCAATAATTATGTTTTTTCATAATTTCAGTATATTTTGATGTAACTAATATTTTGAAAATCGGACCGACCCGACGGGTCAAACTAGCTCAACTGCCAACCAGATATAAAGACGGTTCATTTAAGCTTATTGAACCGTTTAAAGAGTTAGCTAGCTTTGAACCGTTTTAGACCGGATAACAGGTGAATAACGAGTGTAGCGGGTCATAGACATATGAATAAAACTCCATCCAAAAGATTGCCCATCCCCCCCCCCCAAAAAAAAAAAAAAACCTTCTTCTTCGACTTCACAGAACTTAAGTGCCCGTTTGGATACGTCTTTAATCAATTTTATTTTCAAAAAAATTAATTATTTAGTTTATTAGCCAAACACCTGAAAAAGCAAAAAATCGATTCCAACCTTTAAAATCGATTTTTTTCAAAAGCTAATATTTTGAGCTTTTCCAGAAATGCTAATAAAAAAATACTGGAGAAATTACATGAAAAGGTCCAAAAAAATTATAAAAAAGCACAAAATTTTATAAAAAAAAAATCAAACTCCCTTCTCTTCTCTTTTTTTTTCTTAGTAAAATTTAAATTTTAAATCTTTAAAAAAGTTGTTAACATATATTAAGTTAAAATCAATTTTAAAAAAACAATATCCAAATAAATTACGTTATAACATAATCAATTATGATTAAAATCTATCACTTAATTAATTATTTTCATAATCTATTATACCCAACTGAAATCTAAACGGATCCTAAATCTACAGCTATAGGGTCTTGTGTGCGTTCCGATTTGACTCCACCACTACGTCGCGTTCTCGTTTTTGCGTCTCTTATCATCTGTCGTCTAGATTTTGTTGTGTATCTATGTGGTGGTCGAATGAAGTAACTCCGTCGTTTGAAAAAAAGCTCAAGCTTGCTTCTTTTTCACCCAAAAATAGAGAGAAAGTGGAGATAATTTTGAACAGATAAAAAAGGAAAGCGTGGGACATTGAAATGAATAAATAAATATTTAAAGTTTAAAATTAATAAATAAAAATTTAAAATTAATAGATAGGATTAATGGATTATAAAGGGGTGATGATCAAGGGACGTCCCATCAGTCTTTTTCCCGCTTTCTTGTGCATTGTGCTCGTTTTTAGAAAATGGCTATTATAATTTTCTTTTTATTTTATTTTTTTAACTTTTATTGATAATTTATTCTACCAACCTATTTTATATAAAATGAAGTAAATGTTACTAACTTTAAATGTTAAGCATGTGTTTAGTTTTTGTAACTTTTAATATTTAAAAAGTATTTTATTATTTTTCCAAAATCAAATATTATTTGGATATTTATTGTTATAGAAATTAACTTTGAAAATGCACGTTAAAATGAGATTCAAATGCAGATTCGGTGAACTTTGCTTGATGGAGTTTTCCAAAATTTGAAAGCATATTCCCAACTTCAATACTTTTCCAACATTTATTATTCTACCCTTTTTACCTTTCGTTCCATCATTACCCTCCCTTACAAATTAAATTATACATAAAATGTATGATGAAGACATTGCATTATACTCTTTGATTAAGTAAGTGATTTTCAATAACTTTGACTAAAAATAAAAAAATTCAACATTTTCAATATTTAAACATATGTTCCAATGAAAACATTAGCTAAATAAAAAACAAACATTAAAGATATAATATTAAAAAACTAATAAATAATTAAATACTTTTGTATTTAAACACATCCTAATGAACAATTTGCGATCAAGACCATATTTGCGATTAATTAAATACCAAATTGTATATTATATATTAAATAATTAATCATATTAATTTTTAATATTAATATATACTAAACTATTTATTATATAATTTTTTTAATATATTAAATTTTATATTATTTAAAATTTTTATCATATTTATAGACATTTCTAATATATTACATTTATATAATAAATTATAAAATATCATAAATAAATATGTCTCTTGATAATAAGACATTTAAAAACATATTTCATTATATATAATTTAAACAACTTTTAATTTATCAATTACCTTTTGAAAAAATTACATCCAAACATAAATTTAATTATAAATTTTATTAAATTAATTTTTATTAAATAAATTTTTAACAAACTAACTTTTCATAAATAAAAACCAAACGAGCACCAAGTAAAATCAATTATAATTAAAAAAATTAAATAAGACCAATCAAATAAAAATCATGCAATATAAAATATAAATTATTTGTAAACATTAACTATTATATTTTATTTTATTATGTTTGTAAACATATGTCATTTCAAATTATAAATGCACTTCAATTTGAATCTTTATATTCTATTAATTTTTTAATTATTTTATTACCGGTTGAACCCGCCCATCAAACCGGTTCAACTATCAAACCGTGACATGCTGATTTTTCCACTTATTTAAAACATTGGATGCAACAAGCGGCATCAAACCGTCAAGTGGCCCCACTATTCTATTCCTCAGACAAAAGGAGATTCGCATGTGGTTTGACAAATGCGAATCAAGAAACTATGGGCAAAAGCAGATCCTTCTAATACCATCACACTCATCAACAAAGACGCTTCTACACGTTTCAATTACAGAATAGTCTGTGGAAAACAGTACTTACATATAACAGTGCCATAATTTTTAACAAATTCGTATAACCGAAAAGACCAACAGGAACCTTACCTACCAAGGCTCGAACAAAAGAGACCAGAAACAATTAACTTAAAATCTGATACCCACTAGGTGAATAAGCAATACTAATACATCATCACAATCAAAGTCAGAACCAGAATCAATGAACTTAAATATTTACCAAGTGAATAAGTAATCCATCATCACAATCATACAAACTTTACAGGCAGGCATTGGAGTTGTATATCATATTACAAATATAGACTTTCTTCCTCACTCCACAGAGACAAATACATACAAATAAACCCCAATTGGGTATAGAAGAGTAAATTGTTATCTTTACCCTTGAAAAACGACTGATTTTTCAATTCAATCCTCTAGAATGTAACCCCTGTGAGTTTCAATCTATCAAATTATTTTCCAGTCATCTTATTATCTTCTGGGAGACTGGATTGAAAGCCTAGTCTCCCAAGGTTACATAGTAGGGGACCAAATTGAAAAGTTAGAAATTTTTGAGGGGCAAAAACAAGAAGTTACTCTGAATAAAATCTCCCAACCACTGACACAAAACAAATTAATTTCAGCCAAACGAACAAATATGACCCTGTATAAAAAGAAAAAGAATAAATCCCTTTCCCCCCACCCACCCCATTTTCATGTTAACAAATGAAATATGAAATACCAAGTAGAGCCCTTATTCTTCTTCCTCCCTTTAACATAGTCTATAATAATCAATAGTAATTCACAGACCTTACAAGTTCTCCTTCTTCCAATGAAGGCTTTTTACTCACTCAGAGAGGGGTTTGGTCTTGGACCTGTACAGCAACTTCTTCTTCTTCGATGTCTGATTATCAATGGTGAGCACGACCTTACCGGCTTCCCCGATTTTAAAGTCATTAGAGATTATAGTTTCATCTGCAACTCCAATTTTCCGGCTCTTCTGTACGATCACAGTGTATCTATCTTCAGCACTCGGCACGAATTCAGCACCATAGCTCACATCCCAACCCACAACTCTCAGTTCCCAAAACAGATGGGTCGGCTGCAAATCCAACAATTACAAAATCATAAACCAAATATGGGCACAATAGGAAACTAAAATTTACTTTTCCAATACAACTATATTGAGACTAAATTATATTTTATCTGATTTAGTTTGGGATTGAATTCAGTTAGTCTTCCTATGATTTGAAGTATCTCATTCAAGTTGTTCCATGGTCTGTTGTGTTCCACATAACTATTTATGCATTTAAATATATTAGAAGTTTACTTAAACTACAGCCAAATTCAAAGACTTTTTTACCTATCACCGCTTGACTTTTAAAACTTAAGAGTGACCCCTAAAATATATATATATATATATATATGAAATGACAAGTTAATGGTAATGTGTGTGTGTGTGTGTGTGTGTGTGTGTGTTTTTTTTTTTTTTTTTTTTTTTGCATACATTCAAAAGTGTAACAGGATTTATTGTCAAAATTTAAAGTAGGGGGAGGATGTATGTGCCTAATCCAAAGTTCAAGTCATGTACCATTTAGCCTAAAATATACTATTATTTTTAACATGCACATTTAAAATTTTAATTTAAAATAATAATAATTTCATAAGCTATATAGAATGTGACTTACCCCACAATTAATCAAGTTATATGTAAAATGCCCTAGGATGATGAAATGACAATTGAACAAACCAAAACATGAAAAACTAAAAGTAACCTAGGGAAAATTGTAATTTATAATCTTGTGCGTGTGTGCGTGTGTGTGTAATAAAGCACTCTACTTCTCCTCACCTCAGAAGCGGGGAATTCAATAATATGTTTTGTTGATGGTTTAATAGTAAACTCAGTAACAGAGTCAGCAGTTGTGAATTCATAGTCACCCTCCCTGCTCAATCCACCATACTGAACAGGCACATGCTCAGGAGCTATGTATCTATTTTAACAGAAAAGATCAAACAGCCATCAAATTATGGAACATTTCAATTTAAGTGATAAACCAAAGAAAATAATATTCCTGATAACAGTGATAAAAAGGGAAAGAGAGAGCAGAAATACATAGACCCATCAATTGCAGACCAAAAAAAGATAAATAGTGGCCAAGCATCATAAGAAAGATCCAATAAATGAGCACATAGTGAAAAGACAAGGAAAACAAAAGGAAGTAACCACATACTTGAAAAGGGTTTCAGCAGATTTCGATGGACCAGCAAATACAAATTTGCTTTTGGTCCTCTGAGTCAGGAATGGACTGATCATCCTTGCAAAGGCCAGGTACCACCATGGGACATTGATAAACACCTAAAGAAATCAAAACCCATCAATCAGACGTACATCAAATAAAGTCAAAGCTACCAAATTCCCTACATCTACTTAAATTAAGTCAAAACCCAGATATCCAAACATCAAGTGAATAGATACACACACACGTTTGTGTATGCGTGTGCTTGAAAAATTAAATGAAACAGCATGAAGTAGGGATTTTATAAGTACCTGCTTGGCTAAGAACTCAGGATAGTTATCCTGAAGCAAATGAAGGGCCTGATTAGTGGCTTGCCTGAGTTCTTTCTTGCCCAATCCAGGCGAATTCCTAAGATCATTGACCTGGACAATTGTAGAAATTCCAGTAGGAGCGTAGTCAAATTTTCTAACGCTCTTCTCCAAGAACTGAATCCTCCATCTGATGAACTTCTGGCGCTTCTCCTCATCGGAAAACGTGCTCTGATACAATTCCTTGTTCTCGAACTCACCAAACACGTTGTAGCAAACAGAATGGCCTTGTTTGTCATACCCATGAGTGAACACCACCTTGTCCCAATCGTTCCCAAGATCTTCCTCGACGAGTGCGTCGATTCCGAATTCCTTTCGCCAACGAACGGTGTTCTTGATCATCGTGAAGGCGTCCTTCACTTTGAAATCCCTTGCTCTCAAGAATTTCAGGAGTATCACATCACTCCTCTCATCCGCAAGCAGGGGAATTCCCCAGATTGAAACCTCCTCTGGTGGAGGCGGAGGCGGCGCTGGGACCTCCTCCCCGACTTTCGCTTCTGGCGCCGCCTTTTCTGGTGGCGGAGCAGCGGCCTCGCCATCCTTAGTTTCAGGTGCTGCCTCCTCAGAGACTGACACTATGGTCTCTTTGATTGTTTCTACCGTCTTAGAATCAGCCTGTATTTCAGTAGAAACTTTCTCAACCACCTCCGTGACAACAGCAACTTCAGGTGTAGGCTTCTCCTCCTCCTTTTTCTCTTCAGTGACGGTTTCAACAGCCTCCGCGACGACCGGAGCTTCAGGTGCAGGCTTCTCCTCTTCCTTTTTCTGTTCAGAAACTGTTGCAGCCTCAACCTTTGCCGGCTCTTCAAAAACAGCAACCTCCTTAGAAGGCTCTGCTTCAGTTTTTTCTTCAACTGCAGCCGGTTTTTCTTCCTCCTTCTTCTCCTCCTCCGGGGCCTTCTTCTCTTCCTCCTCCTTGGCCGGCGGCGGAGGAGGCGGCGGCGGAGCAGTGAACTCGTGCTTGTTTAATGCTTCTTGAATAAGCTGTTTCAGCTCATCAAGGGCCTTCTTCTGAGCTTCAGGGAGGTCGGCGACTACATAGGTCTCCTCCTTGAAAGAAACAGACTGGGTAATCTTTCTTTCTTCTACTGGGGCCTTCGGCTTCTTCTCCTCGACAGCTTCCTCAGTGGGGCCCGCCGGCTTCTCTTCATCTTTTTTCTCGCTCTCAGCGATTGGCTTCTCAGGCTCTGCTTCGATGACCGGCTTCTCGGGCTCTTTCTCTTCAACAACGGATTTCTCCGCCACTGCTACTGCCACTTCCTCAACCGATTTCTGGGGCTCTTCAGCCATGCCGAAGAAAGATGATCAAAATAAGAGATGGAAAATAATCGTTAGAGAAACAGAGAGAGAGAGAGAGAAGGATTAAGCGTTCGTGCTTATCGCTGAACCTTGTGAGAGAAAGTGAAGGAAAGGGCTTAAAAAAGTTTAGTGAGAGAGAGACAGAGTGGAATAGGAATGGGAGAAGGTGGGGGGTGTGTATGATGGGAAGAACCAGACTGTAAGGAAAGGGCATGCCAGCTGTAATATACAAACACCTTGTTAGTGGGACCCACTACACCTCTAAACCGCTATCCTTGTTTGATTTTCATATATTCTGACTCCCCCCACCCTCAAGTATATCTGCATTCACCTTAATAATAATTTACCCTTTTCTGCCCTCGGAATAAAATATAGCACGTTCAAATTTATCTTCATTCGCATATTAGCTGCATCAATTTAAAATTCAAATTATATTTTTTTAAGAGATTCTTAATTTAATATCTAAAATATTTTATTTTTAATATACAAAAATTATAATTATAATATCTATTATATGCTATTTTTATTGCATTACTTCTCTTATTTAACATATGATAAAGTTAATTACTATTTTATTTTATTAGGTGTTATAATAGAGAATTTTTGAGAAATTTTATAATTCTATGCATGTATTTAAATTTATCTTTATATGTTGGCCAAGAAAAAATAATTTATCTTCATTTCATACATTTTGCATATAAAAAGTAAATTATTATACTATATCAAGTTATCTCTCCAATAAGGCATGTTATTAAAGATTGATGAACAACACAGCCTGTAAGTCATATATGATACTCCATATTAAATGTGTATTAATTTTATCAGATAAGACTTGGATCAAAACTTGTTCAAAATTTTTAAATTTGAGCATTTGGTATGTAGCAGCGATTTATTTCTTAGTGAGAGCCATACCTCCTGCAAATTGCCTATTGAATTAGTCTTAATCAATAACCTAAGATACTGGAAATCTTTTGAAAAATTAAAATTAACTATTATCTCATTGATCGCTAAACTAATTTTAGAGTAATAGTTTGATTATAATATTATTAATCCTTTTTTAGTATTTATAAACTCGTTACATTAAATTCTATTTTTTCATTTTTTGGTAAATAATTCTATTTTTCATTTTTTTTAAGTTATTGTCAAAATAATACAAAGTTTTGGTTCATCTTCTAAGAATGTTTCATGAGAAGTAAATCATACTCCCTCCGTTAAAAAATATAAGATATTTTTAACTGAATTTTACCTCTTAATAAAGTAATTACTTACATTTAAACTAACCCTATATTTTATATTTACCCCCTATTAAACACTCTACAATAAATATAAAGTTATTATCAATAGGGGTATTTTAAAAAAAATATAATGATTACACCTCAAAAGATTAAAAAAAAATATTTTATATTTTTAAACACTCAATTTCTAAAAAAATGCTTTATATTTTTAAACGGAGTGAGTAAAATTTAGTTGAATTTGATTGTTCTTTATTAATTGATTAATATATATACATATATACACATAAATTCAATGCAAAGCTATTTTATTAGCATGCCTTGTATAACATGACTTATCTTAGGTTTTGTGTGGAACACCAGTTTTACAATTTAGTTTGATAATAATATGGGTCGTAAGTTTTTCATCACATAACAAATAATAATGTTTCTTCCAATCGTATACATTAACAGTTCACTCATGAATTAAAAGGTTTTCAATAAATAATTATGTGAGTATAAAAAAATGTAAATATAGAAGCTCATTTCTAGTATAACATTTGTCATAAGTTATATTATTCATTTTTAAAATTTTATATATTTAACATTTATTTTATTTTCCGAGGTTTTACACACTGGACAAGGGAATCATTGCTTTATTTGAGAAAATTGATCAAGTAATTTAATAATATAATACAATATTGATTGATTAAAAGAGATAATCAAATCAAATCCAACAAATGATTAATAATTATTTCTGGCTATCTTTTGCTTTCACAAATACAACGGTCAAGCAAGCTAAGATAGCAATAAAACGAGAAAAGAATAAACGAATCATTGACAACGTAGATGTGAGAACCATCAACGCCAACTACAACAATGTCTCAGGATGACAGAGCTGTCACGGAGAATAAAATCACAGGAGGCCGTTGGGGGTTGTAGTGGACCACCTCGTACACCGCAAATGCCAAAAGCATTGCCCAACTATTTTTTTTTTTCCTCGAACAGCCTGTCACGGGATCATAATCTTCTAGACGTTATCGTTGATCCCTCAGCCGGCAAATAGTAAGAAACCAGTGAGATTATAATATTATATTTCCTTCCTCACATGAAAACGTAAAAACACGTCGTCTTCTACACGTGAATTGATATTAGGATTGAATAAATAATGTCAGAAATATTTAGAACTTGAAACTCCATTTTAATATAATATATTTTTTTGAAAAAATTACTTAAAAATTTCATGAAATAGATTTATTATTAATAAATCCTGTAAAATTTAAGAAATACAAAAGGACCTATATGTAATTGGATGAGAGCATGAGAGCTGGCTGCTATATTGGCTTAGATGCTATCTTACATTGTTGTTCGTCGATTCTACCAAATTGGATGAGAGGATGAGAGCTCCTTTCCTTGAACATTGCTTGTCAATCAAGCAACAACACATAAGACAAGATGTGTAACATCCTCAATTTTAAACCATATTAAATATGCCTAAGCAAATTAATTAAGTGTATTAGTGAGGTATGTAGTCAGAGAGTCCTAACGGATGTGTTTGGTTTCAATTTCAATCCTAAACACGGGTACGAAGGTGAATCAGGTCACCCAAAAATGAAAGAAGAAAAAATTTTGAAAGAGAAGATTTTATGCCACGAGCCGCGGCTTGTGGATAAGCCACTGTGGTTCATGTGTGGCAACATGTTTGGGAGATGCTTTCTTTGTCATGCGCCACGATGCATTGTGCGTCCGCTGTGGCGTATGGTCAAATTTTTGCTATTGTAAGTTCGCGAAATGAAACAAAAAACAGTGGAAGAACAAAGGAAAACTAGAGATTTTCGAGAGATTCTGAAGAGCTGTGCTAAGGCTTGAAGAAACCGACTAGTAGGAATAATTTGTAGCCCATAAACATCAAAAATAAGCTTCCTACTTTCAAATCTTTCTCTTTTCTTCCATTTTCTTGATGATAGAAGTTAGGGTTTGGTTGATAATGATGATTTCAATCCATAGTGGCTTGGCAGTTGAATGACATTAAATGTTCAAAAATCCTTATAAATATGTTGGTTGGGAATAATGTGATCCTATTAATAATCATTAAAGAGCTCAATGATATTAAGAAGTGTTAAAGGAACCTAAGAAACCTTATGGGTACTTTTATATGAGGCAAGAATAAATCTTGAGCATTAAGAAGTGTTAAAGTATTAGTGAAAAGCCCAAATGTGAATATTAATGATTTGCATTGTAAATACATGTAGAGTAACTATCTTTGGCATTCAGACTACTTGGAAGCTTTAGGAGTGAGTATTTGAGGGGTGAAATCTTTGACCTCTCGAGGGTTTTTGAAGTAACCGAGGGAATTCTATCTTATGCTTCTGTATGTTAATTAGTTTATTGATTGAGATTTGATAATGGAATTGTGTAAAATTGATTAAAATGCAAATGTGGCTTACTTTGTTTGAAAAACCCATTATGAAGTAGTAATTTAATGGAGTTCGATGATTTTGAAATTTATGGAGTTTAATGATTGTGAATGTGTGAAGTACAATGATCGTGAATAATTTAGAGTTCAATGACTTATTTGATTTGGGGTTCAATGAAAATGTGTTTAGAAAGTACCATGATTTCTTGTCAATGAGGTTTTATGAGTATATCTATTGTAAGGAGTTCAATGATTTGCAAAATTGTGAAGTTCAATGAAAACATAAGGTTGAGGAGTTCAATGATTGATTGACATAGGAGTTCCATGATTGTTTATATAGAGTTCTATGAGATATGTTAATTATGAATTATTACATGAATATGCATTGCATGATCTTAAGATGTAGGAGTTTATCTAGGAAGAGGAGTAGAGAATTAAATCTACATGGTAGGGCTCCCATCTGAGTTGATGGCTTGCCCGGATTGTTTATATACTAATTATCCCACTTATTCAATAAGGGACTATTTCACTGGTTCAACGAGGGACTTGAACCTAGTTAACTATCTACTATTTCAATGAGGAAGCTAATCTAGGGAGAATGACACCCCATAGTGTGAGAAAATAGGGGAAACTGTGTTCCATAAGTGAGTTGGGTAAGCCTTGGCTGAGTAATCCCTCACAATTATTTAGGCTAGAAAAGTCCCGGATTATAGGCTATCCCATTGTGATATAGCCCACGATTTTATGTTAAAGGAATAAAGAGGATATAAGGAATGTGTGATCATGCATATAGTAAAAAAGGACACATGGTTGTCTGTATGTGACCCTGATTATGGTTATCATGAATTGAGTCTTAATCCTTTTCGAGTATATGTCATGTAATCATATGATAAAATCTCTTTTGCATAGAAGTTGTTAAAAAGCATTGTTTCACGAATATTGTGCTATTATGTTGGGAAATGTGAATTTATGCTCTTGAATGTTTTACATGATTTGGAAAATTGCTTATATTTGCCACTTGCATCTAAATTAATTAACATGTATTAGTATAAGTTAGTTGGACCTTGGTTATTGAGTGGATATATTTACCCCACTATTTTCAATATTACGGGAAATAGTTCAAGAGGATTGGATAGAGGAAAGCACCTAAAGGCTAAGGATTGCAATTTGATTTAGTATGCCTCTTTATTTTTGAGTCATTATGTGTATTTGACAATTTAAATTGCTAACTAAGATTAGTCCATTTTTTGTTCTTACTTGTATTATACATTTATGAGTTGTGACTATATTTTGGGGAGTGAGTTGATGATATGTAATATATGTGATGTGGCCAAAATACTAATGCAAGTAAGAGTTGGGTGTAATATGTGTTGATTATGAAATATTTGATGAAAAGTAACTTGAACTCCCCTTGTTATGTCTTTGAGATCAAGGGCTGAGTAGTGAAATTGTAATCTATAAGTATTTAATGTGATGTAGTGCATTGCACAAGTTAGTTTTGATATTTTGCATGTGATTTAAATAGTGTCAATGGCTATTAGCTTTTGATGATTAAGTTAGACACTTAGT